AAGACCCGTTCGTATAAACGATAAGAAAATAGTATCGAATCCAATCTGTATCACTCGGTGTTCCGTTTCGTCGGTCCACGCGCTACAGAATGTCTTTTTTTGTCACTGCTTGTGGCATGCGGCGACTGCACCTGCACCCTGCACGTGCACTCTCGACATTTCATAGATTTATAGCCATATGTTTGTTATATTTGTATTTTTTTAAAAGAAACAAATGCGTTATTTAATTCCAGACACTTTTTATAAAATGTAAATCACGTCAGAAAATGTATGGCTTAATGCTTATGCAAAAAATAATACAGATGTTGTGAGGAGCCCTTAAAAGCGCCTATACTATGTCTCAAAAAAACAATTTTTATTTAGTTTCGTTTTATAACAGCTGTCTTTGACAAAAGTTCGCTAGTTGTATTATTTTATATTCCACTGTTGGTTAAAATTTAAAAAATATCTGAACACAAAAAAAGAAGCAGAGTACAGAATTTTTTACTGAACACCGGTATTGGTAATAAGGCAAAATGCAACTTTGTTCCAAAATGATGTCTTTTAAAGGAGGAGCAACTTAATTAAATACAATTAAATAAACTATTAATTAAATATATATTTTTAAGTGTGAGAACGCTTTTATTAAAACTATATCAGTAAAATTTCAAAGAAATTTTATTAGTACCTACTTTTACAATAACTTATCAGTAAAAAATTGGAATTTCGCGTCCTTCATTTCATTCCGCACCATCATTTGATTGTATAAATAATGATTTTTAAATTATGCATATCCCTGTACAGTGACCAGTATTAAGACTTCAGATCGCAAACATGCAATACAGATTCTCGAGTATATATATACAGATTTCACCGAGTCTCTTTCTTTTCGACCATCTATATCTCGGCAACTATTGATCACGCAGAAAATTGAAGGGCAATTTTAAAAACTTGAATAAATTTCATATAAGAACCTTTAATGCCTTTTTGCGAAAAATTTTTTTTGTCCACATTTGAAAAAAGGATAAAAAAGTGACTTTAGGGTTTTTCAGGAAATCTACGGTTCCTCTATCTACAAATATTAGTGAAAAGACTAATGTTGGCAGTTTTTTTACGGCAAAATTTATTCCACAGGGTTTCAAAATAGTACAGAAAATGATTTTTCAGTAAAAATACCGCTACTTTACAAATATTGGTGGAANAAACCCGGAACTCTTTTGAACTTTACCTACCTCTGTAGAGCATCACCATGTCTTGGATGGAGAATAAATTAGTTCGTACGTCGTCTTCTCCCAGCCCTTCTTCAGATTCTTCGGAACAGGAGGTAGAACGGACGCCGCCGTACGCTGAATCGATCGCCGCATTCTCGGTGGAAAGAGCAGCTGCGGGGCGGTCAGGATACATCGACAACCGTGAGGGGGCGATTCACTTCCCAACTCCTCGGCCAACTGTCGATCCGGACAAACACGTTTCAACTAACTCCCTCCAGGTCCTGAAGGAGGACACTGAAAGGTCTCTGCAGGGATCCCAACGGCTCTTGAGGCGTGACGCGGCTACGCCCTATGCGTTACGACCTGGAGGACGTCCGGAATCCACCCCCGCTACGTCGACCAATCAGGAAAGAGGAGCGATAACGCGACAATATCAGTAAAATTCAAAGAAATTTTATTGGTACCTACTTTTACAATATTATGTAAAAAATTGGAATTACGTGTCCTTCAGATTCAGATCGCAAACATACAATACCGAGTCTTTTTGTTTTCGACCATCTATATCTCGGCAACTAGTGATCACACAGAAAATTTAAGGGCAATTTTAAAAACTTGAATAAATTTTATATAAGAACCTTAAAAGCCTTTTTGCGAACAATTTTTTTTATCCACATTTTAAAAAAGTATAAAAAAGTGACTTTTTAGGGTTTCTCAGGAAATCTACCGCTCCTCTATCTACAAATATTAGTAAAAAGACTAACGTTGCCAATTTTTTTACGGCAGAATGTACTCCTCAGGGTTTCAAAAAAGTACAGAAAATGATTTTTCAGTAAAAATACCGCTACTTTACAAATATTGGTGGAAGGACTGTTGCTAGTTTTTTTTACGGCAAAATGTACCCCCAAAAGCCCTGCAAATTTTCGAATTGATTCTTCGAACCGTTTTTCCGGACTGAATCATTAACGTTTAGCGATGAAAGGAACAAGATTTTATTCCTGTTATTGAACATTATTCAGTGGTTCTCAAATCGAAAAAAAATTCTCTACTCCTTTTTTAAAACAATTCCAAAACAAAAAAATGTTGCTTTCCTTGTTTTATAAAACTAAACATTCGGTCCGGAAAAATGGTTTGAAGAACCAATTTGAAAATTGGCGATGCTTTCGAGGGTACATTTTGATGTAAAAAGAGCTGGCAGTATTAGTTTTTCCACCAATATTTCTAAAGTAGCGATATTTTTACTGAAAAGTCGTAGTCATTTTTCAGTGTCACTGCATTTTTCAGAATAATGTCAGGTACATTTTGTCATTTTGTTCTAAAAATAACCTGTCAACGTTAATCTTTTCACCCAAATACTTTGTATACTTGGGCACCAATATACTAAACTAAACATATTTGTAAAGTAGCAGTAGATTTTCTGTAAAACAGCAAAAAGTAATTTTTATACCTTTTTCAAATGAATGTATAGGATAAAAAAAATTTTTTGTTGCCAAAAGATCTTGAAACCAGATATGTTGAACTTTAAAATCCACTTATTTTTATCTCGATACCAATACTTATCTTTCACACAAAGATAGATACAGCTCAAAAAAAAATTTTTACTCTAATTTTTTGCAGTAAATAATGTACTGAAAATCCAAGTCATGATTCTAATTAATATACTAATTTTATTCATTTCAACTGGAAATTTTGGACTTTCAACAATGATTTATCTGAAAATAGTTGTAAACAGTCAACAAATCGATATGGGTTATGTTATTTTGTAACAAAAAGAACGTATAATAATTACAAATTAAAATACTTTATGGATTTTGGATCGGACACATAAAGAGCTGACGACTTCATATAAAAACCGATAAATCCAGTTTTTATGATTTCGACAAAAAGGGCAAAAATGTCTGGAGGCCGATCCCCTAACACCTTTACTTTTACCTTTTTTACAAAGTCTCAAGATTTTGTTCTCATTGTTGTGTTTCCGTTTTCCTTGAGCAGGTTAAATATCACATCCAATAAAAAATTAAACGATAAAATTTTGGGTAACTGTTTACCAGATTGCTTAGGATGATTTTATAAATATAATTTTTCCTACATAGAAATTAATGTTCCTCCGGAACATACGCTATCCTCGGGACAATCTGAGGTCATCCAAATATTATGGCAATTGTGGACTATCTGCTCAGACATCCCAGTAATATTGTCGTGGAATATGATTGGTCTACTGCGTGGGCCCATCAACGTTGTTCCTTAGCATGTTGAAAACTTCACATTCCCTCATTATGTGATTGTATTGAACGACGGTTCCTTGTTCCATTTTTGCCTGGGGATGCCAGGAGGTTAATCGCTTGCTCTCCTGCAAGGGAATTTCTCCTTCACGTCAATTCCAACGGACGCTTAGGAAAAATAAAGTCGATGCTATCACTCTTCCACCATTGTTGATGAGATTGGCCTGGCATTGGGATAACGGCTCTCGCTCTATTGTGTAAACTTGAAAATCGTACTTTTTGGCACTTGCTCTAGGTTTCTAGGTTTTAGTTTATCAGTTTTTGATTGTGATTTAGGTGTTTTGTTTTATGTTCCCGTTAGAAGTTTTTTGACCGAACCTTATGCTTAGATGCACTTGCACTTGAATTTATGGAACACTATCAAGTATAGTACCGTAGTGTGTAGCGCAGGTTTAGAGAGAGAGAGAGAGAGAGAGAGAGAGAGAGGTATAGGAGCGTATAATGCTAGCTCACGCGTGCTGCTAGAGAGAGGTAGACTTCGCTGACAGTGTAAAGACATCTACTGTAGTATGGTTTTATGACCCTTTACGGCCTACGTAAAATATTAAAATTTCATTAAATTATACAAGTTGGTTCAAAAGTTAGAAACGAAAAGGTAAAGTCGCTGGACCCCTTTGGGGCTCTGTATCTCCGTTAAGGGGCACTTTAGGAAAAAAAAATATGACAAACTAGGGTTATTTTGTCCTCCCCTATACACTCCCGAGAGTATGCCATATACTTACCAGACACCCTGTATATGCTACAAAATACGTATTATTATCCTCTCTTCCCTTTTTTTATTATAAACTCCAAATTTAACAAGTATTAATTAAAATAAAATTACTTTTTTTCATTTTTTTCTTGGAATATACCCATAAATAAGAAATTTTACATTAAATTGCAACAAAGTTCTACTCATTTTAATTATGTAATTTTACTGTATTATTAATGTGTTAGATTATTGCAAGTTTGCTAGAATACTTCATATCAATGCTTTGTACAACTGATAAATACAATTACAAAGCAGTACATACCTACATATTTAAAAGAAATTTCCCAGTGGTTCATTAATTAACTTTGTTTCAAAGTACAGAACAAGCATATTTGAGCATTGCTAAGAAAATTTTTAATACTTTTAACAAATCTTATTGACAAGTTTACAACAAATCTGCTAAATTAATATTTCCTTGTAAGGTTGTTTTGTGACCATTTGACTGTAAATTTCTTGTAAACCTGCCATAAAACTTTTACGATTTTACAGTTTCCTTTGTAAATTGATGGAAATGTTACAGTAATTTTAATTTGTTTGGTTGATACATATTTACACTTCGATTTTAGTTCTTAAATAGTTTTTTAAACTAAAGTTCCAAGTTACTTGTCTTACATTTGTTTTTGCCGCTCACAGAATATTAGGGTATTTTAGTGTCTACACTAAATAAATTTTGAGTTGGCAATGAGTACATAAAAATGGCAAGTCTTCTTTGTTGCACGCAGGTTGCACGTGTCGGACGTCTGACGTCTCTCTTGCGCAGTACGCAGTCAGTATATTTCTTTAGGTAAGTATGTGTGTTCTCCACCATCACGCCGAATAAACTTATTTAATTCGTATTTCGTCGTTAACAGCAATCGTGTGCTTTTAACCGTTCAAAATGGTAAGAACAATTTCAACTGATTTATATTTTACACTTTTACACCTTTTTAAAAGTTATTTATTCGAATTTGTACTAACTGATGGACGTCATTTGTTTCCTCTGCGAATAAAATTTGTCGAAATCAATTCCGAAACGAATTGGAAAGTTTTGCATTCAAAACCCTTTTAAGTATATTAATTATTTCGAATTATAATATTGAATGTGTTTTTTATCTTAGAAATTCTACACGATTTGTCTTAAACTGATAAACATTCTGTTATATAATTATATTATTCTTTTTCATATATCAAAATGTTATAATTATTATTAACAGAGGTTCTTTTTCAGTAATGTAACAATAAATAAACACGTAATTTTAAATTATTTCATGAAACGAATTAAATAAGGGATATTATTTGCTTCCATACTAATAAAATTTCCAGGTCACATTGTGAAAACGAAGTTTTTTCTTTTTTATGTTTTTTTTCATATTTCTTATCTCTTATACGAATATAAACCGACGTGAAATACATCGACTTAAAAGTTTGTTTTATCGAGATGTAAATAAATATTTAGCATATTTTTTTTAATTCGGCCAGTACTGTTAATAAAATAGAGAAGCGTTTTTTCTGAACAAATAAAAATTTTTCACAGTAGAAATTTTTACAGATAGTTGTTTTGTATTTATTACATATATTTATTTATGTTAAAATGTTTTCTATCAAATTAAACATATTCGTATTAATAATACAGGCTTTTTCTCAGTAAATGTAAACAAATATACAGGGTGCTCCACGAGGAGGTGTAGAAACTTTAAGGATAAAAATAAACAAAAAAATGTTTATAAACATTTGGTACCGAAACGCCGTTTTTGGGAATGGACCTTATTATTTATAAACCATTCACTTTTTCGACAAAAATAAGATAATGTTTTTTCATCTGAAATGTTTCAGACCGTTATAAAATAATATTCCTATTACCAATTAATTCAGTGGCGTAGAAGTTTTACTTCAATATCCTTGTTTCTCCGCCACTGGTTTTTGAATTTGCATACAGAACTAGGGGAAATATTTGAAAAATAATGTGTACCAAATTTGGAGAAATTTGATGAAGCGTTTTTCGATATTTAAAAAAGTTATTTTATTTTTGTTAATTTCAATGCCCTGTTTCTCATAAACGGTGGCTTTCTGCGCTTATGCTCATTGATATTCACTTTTATTGTTTAGTACTTCCCCGCAGTTTGTCTATTAAAATCCGGACCACCCTGTATATATTTTTTTCGTTCCATTGACGAAATATATATAGACTTACAGCAAAACGTAAATGACATTTTTATAGGTAATATTCTTTTTTATAGAAATTTTAATTTCCTATAAAAACGTCATTTACATTTTTGCTGTAGAACCGTTCAAGCCATATACAGGGTGGTCCCAAGGTAATGGGCCAAATGGGTAGATTCCCGAAGCAATTGCGATTTAGTCGAATTTACCTTAGTCCAAAAGTTGATAGTTAAAGAGATACAGGGAGTGTAAAATGTAAAATATTATTTCAGTTTTTTTTTTCATTTATTCCTTAACAAATGTACGTATCATCACAAAATTTTGGGGTTTGGAGTTTTTTGGATAGAGGAATTGAAATATGTTCACATTTTGGTTAAAGTTCATAGAGGGCGCTAGCTGCAGTAGATTGAATGTATTAAAAACGATATAACTTTTTTGTACTTTCAGGTATCTCATCTTTGGTATCAAATTCTTATTTTCCAACTTTTTTTACACAAAAAAGGTATATTTCATGAAAGTAGCTATCTCGCACTGCTTTCGAGATATTTGGCTTTGAAACTTCCAATGCTGTTACATTAAATTACAGTTACATAAGTACCTACAGGTATTATTAATTTACCGGTAAAGATTTTCGTTTTTGGAGTTACATGAAATCAGTTGTCTATGGAGAAATTATCAACACCCGAGAAGAACTTTAGCAGCAGGTTTTAAATACTGCAAAGTCATTTCGCGTTAAGGATTTATACTTTAAAATAAGATAATCTTTTAATAAGCGAGTTGATAAATGTATTGAAATTAGAATTATGAGCAATTATTGTCAAAAAGGAATATTTTTTTTACTAATGTTTACTACTTTACTGTTCATTACAATTTTTAATTCTAAATAAACCCTTGTTTTTGACATTTCTAAATTTTAATTATTTCAACTACTAGCATTAGAAGTTGCAAAGCCAAATATCTCGGAAACGGTACGAGACAGCTACTTTCATAAAGTATACCTTTTTTGTGTAAAAAAAGTTGGAAAATAAGAATTTGATACCAAAGATGAGATACTTTAAAGTACAAAAAAGTTATGTCGTTTTCACCACTTTCAATCTACGGCAGCTGCCGCCCTCTATGAAGTCTAACCAAAATGTGAACAAATTTCAATTCCTCTATCCAAAAAACCCCAAACCCCAAAATTTTGTGTAGATATTTGTATTTATTAAGAAATAAATGAAAAGAAACATATAATATTTTACATTTAACACCCTGTATAAACTACTATGGGCACTTTTAAAGAACAAAGGTTCGCCTAGAGCAGGGGTCGGCAAGTAATTTTAAGTGGGGTTCGGATACTTTTGAAAATTTTTAAGGAGGTCCAGAAAAAAAATTCATTTTACTTACTAATTTTTTATTTTAATTTAAAAAATTTTTTGTAGCGCCATGCCATATACAGGGTGTCTCATAATTAGCTGCCAACCCTGAACAGGCCGATTCTATGATCAAAACTAAGTAAAAAAGTTCATATGAACATGGGTCCGGAAATGCTTCCTAAGGGCACAGGGACCCATTGAAGAGGGAGGAATGGAAATCATTTTTTTGCAATATCTCTCAATCGCGTTGTGATAAATGAATGAAATTTGGTATACACAGCTAAATTTTGATGAGCAATTTGATGGACTAATCCATTTATAAAAAATAAAAAATTAAATTAAATAAAAATTAATCCTTTAAATGGAAAAGAGAGGAAAGGAAAATTATTATTATTATTTTTTGTAATTCAAGAGCGATTTTCTCAGAAACCGTTAAAGATAACGATTTGAAACAAGAGTACCTTTTTAACGTAAAACAGTTCGGGAAAACGGAATTTGCTGTCCAATTTGTTAAAATGTCAAAGATGAAAAAGTTACACACGCAAAATACCAAGGGCCCCCCCGTACCCACCCCAATGGACCTTGTGGAAATAAATGGATTAGTCCATCAAATTGCTCATCAAAATTTAGCTGTGTATACCAAATTTCATTCATTTATCACAACGCGATTGAGAGATATTGCAAAAAAATGATTTCCATTCCTCCCTCTTCAATGGGTCCCTGTGCCCTTAGGAAGCATTTCCGGACCCATGTTCATGTCAACTTTTTTACTTAATTTTGATCATAGAATCGGCCTGTTCAGGGTTGGCAGCTAATTATGAGACACCCTGAATACAGAAAGATTGAATCAACAGTTCCAACTACAATTTGAAGTTATTCGAGAGATCTAACAACCCAATTTCCGGAACTAAAATAAATTTGTTCATTTTGGAGATATTGACAGCCGGAGTGTTAAATGACACACCCATACATGAAAACATGAAAACATATTCTTGTTTTTCTCCTAAATTAACCTCGAAGACAGATTTTTTCTCCATCACTGTAATTTTTCATTCCCCGCTGTTGTCAGATGATCCTTCTTTTTCTATAGCTCTAGTAACTTTTAAAGTTCTATTTTTTCTGCTGAAATTGATTCATCATTTCTAATCCTACTTTCTAAAAATACAATTGATCTCTCAGGAGAAATATTTCTTATTTCCCTAACAGAAATTAACGAATTAGCTTCATTAACATCTGCACCATTTTCTTTGCCTGGATCTGAAAACTTCTTTTCTATTTTCAGAAGAAATGTCTCTAAGAAGGTTGTAATTTTCAAGTTCAGGTTCTTTCAGTATGGTAAATTTGTTGAAATGAAATTAGAATCACTATTTATTATTTCATTAATTGCACTAATAATTTTGCTTTCCGTTACAGTCAAAATAAGTAAGTTGAACATATTGTTTCCTTCTCAATATGGGATTGGTCACTAGATGAAGTAAATATTTCAACATTTATTAACACTGGCTGATTTTCAGCTACATCAGAGACAGGCCCGGATTCACTCTCACCGCCTTTAGTGCCTTTTCGAGCAACGTATACCTTTTCCGATGTATAAAACTGTATGGAACCCACTACAAGTTTCATCGGTGGCGGTGCAATCTACAAATTTGGTTTTATCGACACCTTTTCAGCCGAATGAGAAGTTTGTTCGCTTTCATGAGTCCTTAATAATAAGTTGTTGACAAGGTCTCTCAAGATTTACTAGCAGACGCAGTTTGAAATTTTTTAAGGTTAAAATCATCAAAGGAATCACCATATCTGATATTTAGGTAAGTTAAAGAAATAACTATTCAAAGACAAAGCCCGTAATATTCTCTGCAATTAGATTTTTAATCAGTTGTATTCTTTTTACTAAATAATTTTCTTATTTCTGAGTCTAAGACTAAGTTAACTGGTGAAAAGAATACAACTAATGTCGCATTTCTTTGCCAAAAGCCATAAGAAATGTATAAAAGTAACCTTTTGATCCAGTCTAGCGTCATTCAGCTAAATATTTTTAAAATCAGGTTTGTGATAATTTGAATGATTGGATTAACCTTACAATTAAAATCACTGATTTTTAGATAAAAAATAATGATTTTAAATTAAAGTTTTATGGCGGAAATTAGACGATACAATTTAAAAACAAAATAGCAAATTCTTCAATTAATCGACAAACTTTCAAAATAATTCATATTGTCCAATATATAGAAATAATTGTAACTGTTACATTGTGTGAAATAATTAATTTAGGACATTTATTATTTTTATAGTGTATTTTTTTAGGTCATTTCACCATGCATTTATGGCACTTTTTTCTTGACCAACAGTTTGAAAGTGTAGTAAAACATATTTTCTTGTTCAATTT